AAAAACAAGTCAGTCATGCAGAGGACCACTCTGATGACCCAGAAAGCGTTATTTTCTACTTTCGTTTTTTGGTGAACACTTAAAAAGATTATGCTGAGTCAAATTAAATCCTGCTTACTAAATGAGCCAGATTTTTTCCTGCTATCTCTTGTCCTTCTCAAATTCCAGAAGCCTTGAATGAGCTCCAGTTGTTTCATCTCAGAAAAGTAACTTCAGTTAGCTAAGGATTTACTGAAAGTTAGCAGGGTTGTTTATAAGATGAAAGCACTAGAAAACAGGCATTTGAAAGTAAAAAGAGATAAACAACTGAAAGTCAAACAAACTATAAAATCTCAATTAGAGCCAAGCTGAACCCACAGTCCCCTACATAAATTATGATTCCCCCTGACCTTAAAAGGAGGGAAGTGTTTTAGTATATTTATAAGTGGTTAACTCAGTTTCTAAAATTAAACTTTTTATTTGAAAAAAAAAAGGAGGGAAGTGAGGGGAAGTACAATCCTATTACTTAAATGTCTCAATTTTATCATCTGATCCATGACTTTCCTTACTATTGTTTTTTCTTGAAACTTGAGAAAGAATTCACCAGTCACAGAACTGTCCAGCAGAGCTCCATGGTAATCAGTAGGCTGCAACTGTTAGAGGAACTCACCACCAAATCCTTATTTTTTAATACATCCCTCTGGAAACTTGACAAATTATTGAATGATGTATCAAATGTCAAGGATAATAACTATCAAGTTTCAAGAAGAGGAAAAAATTAAATATTAAAACGTGTTCCCAATTCCTTTTGAGCAAGACTTCTGAAGAAAATCATGTCCCTCCCTTTTATAAAACCGCATCCCTCCATTCACGTCCTCCTTTCAAAATGTGAGGAAAATAATGGCCTTCTCCCCATGACCTTACGCTACTCTGATGGTTAGCAAGGTCAGGAAGACGTGGGGTCATGCAACATCAGTCTCTCGGGTCCAGCCTCCCACACTCAGGGAGTTGAGACACAGAGAGACGAACATGCGGCAGAGGCACTGGTGGAACTGTGCTTTCAGGAAACCAGTCACCAGCTTTTTGGGTGTGTGAGGCTGGGTTGACTAGAGAAACAAATCCAAGGACAAGAAAGAGCTATATGTCAAAGAGTAATTATATATTAAGGAATCATCCCAGCCCAGTCAATATCAACCCATAAGTCCAATATTAGCCCATAGGTCTGATACTAGTCCATAAATCCATCGTCAGACTCATGCAGCCACATGCAATGATGCAGAATGCAGGAAGATCACAAGTGGGATGCATAGTCTTATAGATCCAACAGAGGTGGCTGCATCACAGGGCTCTGGCTGCCATCAGCGTGGCTCAAAGAGGCTCCTCAACAGGAAGGTGAAGACAGAGAGAAAGGGAGGTTCCCAGAACCCTCCTTATGAGAGGGCCACGCCCACAAGGAGGCACTATTAAGCTGCAACCTGATCGACAGGCTAGACTCCACCCCTACACTTCAAGTTGACAGGAAATTATGGAACTAGCACACTGGGTATAAGGAGACAGGGGAGGCAGCTCCCTGCTCCCTGCATTGTATTTAATGGTAACATATTCTTGAGCACATTCATTCTACTTGGCAGTCTCCTGCTTCGTCCTGCTTGTGAAAGTAGGCGGTAAAGTAGTGCATCTTTGGTCAGCACTCACTGGTGTTTTAGGAGTCATTGCTGAAGGTTCACCCTTTCAGGTTCTCCTATGATTGTGCTAGTCTAATTACTTCAGTGAGGAGCCCTAGTGGTGTAGTGGTTACACACTGGGCTGTTAACCGTGGGCTCAGCAGTTCAAAACCACCAGCCACTCTGAAGGAGGAAATCGGGGCTTTCTACTCACATTAAGAGTTACAGTCTCAGAAACTCACAGGGGCAGGTCCACCCTGTCCTATAGGATCACTATGCATTGGAGTCCACTCGATGGCACTGAGTTTGTTTTGTTTAGTCATTACTTGTATTGAATTCCTTTAGGCTCAAAAGGCCTATTGTGGCTTCGCTTTAGCGAACAGAACCCTGAAAGATGCAGGCGCCCCTCCTTCGTTCGTCAGGTTTGACTGAGTAGAACTATGAATCACCTGACTTCCCCTTAGCAGGGCCTTGTGGAGACATGGATTGGCGAGGCTTAGCCATTCACAGGCCTGATGCTCAAAAACAAGAGATACTGTTCTTGACTCTTCCCTCTGGATGGGACTCTGAAGATAATTCACATGAAAAGACTAGAAATCATATAGTTGATGATTAATTACATGACACAATATACACTAGCAAACAATATTAGATGAATAGCCAAAAGAACTGTCGTTGTTTGAAAGAAGCAGCAGAGAGGGTCACTCAAAAGAAGCCATGAAACTGATTATCCTTAAGAATGCCCCCAGTTCCAAGAACGTGACTTGGAGACTATGAGAAACAGCCACCAAAATCAGTTTCGTGAATGGCTCACAGAGACACGGGACAAGGCAGGGTGTGCTGGAAGAGTTATGACCAAATGGCAGGGGAGAAACCCCCTCAGAAATACAAAGCCCCTCAGTGGAAGGCACCCTCTTGAAGCGGGGTACATGCTTTTCCATTTTTCGGTATATAAAACCCAGGATCGATGGACTTATAGGGACAGCAAGTAAAATAAGGGGTTCAGGGGGAGGCATAACATGGAGAGGATGTCAAGGAGTCCACGTACACAAGGAATGGCTGGAAATGGATTGTAGCTGTGGGATACTAGCACTAAGGGAAATAGAACTGGGCCTTATTCCCTGACGTGTGCGGAGGAAGTCTGGAAAGCCAGTGCTCCATGGTAGAAAAGCCGCCACTCGAAGTTGGAGATATAGTCCAAGTATATTTTCCTGCAGTAATCTATCGTTTCCACAGTTTCTCCCTCTAAAACTGTGCTGCCTTAAAGTGAGCACATGGTTGATTCATTCTCCCTATAGAAGGAGACATTTGCTCCTTTTCTTCCCGCCGCAGCAGTCAGCCCCTCTCATACCCTCCTCCAATAGTAGATGTGCATAGGGGGACTGTATCCTCCATGCCTGTATTCAAAACGTTTACCATAAGCCTGAGTTTTTGGCCATACTAATTGGATCATGAAGTTTTGCCCTAACAGCTTTCAAGGTATACAGAATAATGTAGCCACTGTGGCTCTTTTGAATTTTATATATAAAACAAAAGGGGGAATTATGGGAAACAGAAGGATTTCTCTCAAGCTGTCTCCCCCAAATATATGCCAGACTTAGCTGCTTGAGAATGACTATACACTTGGAGGTCATCAAGAATAGATCCGGGGTCATTCTCCCTAAGAGCTATCAGCCATCTATCTAGACCAAGCAGACACCACTGTTTATCCCACAAGTAGGGCCCACTCCCTTCTGATAAAGATAGCAGTTGTCTGTTTCCTTGTAGGAGACACCAGAGGTCAAAACCTGCCCAAGGATGACCAAGGTTAGGCTGCCATCATGAATCTAGGGTCCGCCCATCTTGTCACATGTATACC